ATAACAAAGAAGAAAGGATATATAAATTAATGAACAATCACTCCAAAAACACAAAGCAAAATAACAACAAATGTATAGCTGTTCTTGATTTCATATTGGATTAGTTAACATTTGAGTTTCGACCCCTTGTTTCCGATTCCTGCCCAACTGAATCACCTGATATCGTTTTAAAGTTTTAGCTGGGAGTTTATATTAGTGTTCACTGTTTTATGAATCTTTTTCTGTTCGCCGTCCGTTAGCCTCCCTTCTTTATTTTGATTTGTCAGTTCAATTCACTCTATATGTGTATCCGAGTTCCAATTTCTGACTTTTGACCTCAGTTGGTTAGTTATCCTGTCATACATGCCAAGCAAAGCATTGTATTTTAAGAACTAATTTATTAACACTTCTTATTCTTCTTCCTGCATGGTACGGGAAAGACTCCGGTGCCGGAGTGTGGAATATCCCGGAACTGTGGCGCTATGAACATGCAAATGGATGTCGAAAATTTTGTAATAATAAAATAAAAATATTTGCCACAGTTCAATTACAATTTAAAATAACATTAGTTGTAGCTTAATGTTACACATATTTACATTATGTACAGTGGCTTAAATACACTAATTAATTAGCCAGACTAGAACCTCTAAATGTTAAAGTAGAGATACCACCTTTGAAGGATTCTAGGGAGGGTGACATGCAAATTGTTTCTGGGAGATCGTTCCAGACAGCAATAGTGTTTGGGAAAAAAGATGATTTAAAAAAGTCTTTATTTGTATATATAATTATGTAGGCCTCTAGTTCGCCTGTCAGATTGTGTCAGGACGTCATTAGTGACTTCGACCCCCCCCCCCCCCCCCCCCCATTAATCTTATAAATCAAGACAAGCTTACCTTTTGTTCTACGGGATTGCAAGTTTTCCCATTTTAATTTGTTTAACATACCAGTGACAGCGCCTGGTGATCTATCGTTATAGTCATTAAAAACATATCTTGCTGCCTTACGCTGTATCTGCTCAATTTGGTTTATTTGGCTTTGTTTGTACGGATCCCAAACTGGTGAGGAGTACTCGACGGTCGGACGCACAAGTGATGTGTACGTAAGGTTTTTAACCTTACGTGTACAATTTTTCATGTTTCTACGTAAAAAACCTAGTGTTTTATTTGCCTTTGAAGTTATATTATTAATATGGGGCCCCCAATCAAGATCATTGCTTATTGTAACTCCTAGATACTTGCTGTCTTTGACAGATTCAAGTACATGGTTATGTAATTTATATTGAAATAAATTAGTTTTCGACTTTTTAGAAATATTTATGACATAGCATTTTTCAGGATTAAATTTCATTTGCCATTCAGATTCCCAATTTTCAAGGCTTGATAGATTTTTTTGGAGTGCTTGAGACTCATTTATATTATTTGATGTTTCATAAAGTAAACAGTCGTCAGCAAAAAGACGAACCTTACAGGAGACATGCTCAGGTAGGTCGTTTATGAATAACAAAAATAATGTTGGGCCTAATACTGTGCCCTGAGGAACACCAGAGTCAACAGAAGTTTATATAGGTAATAGTAAAATTGAGAATGGAAATGGGGAATGTGTCAAAGAGACAACCCGACCATAGAGAAGACAACAGCCGAAGGCCACCAATGGGTCTTCAATGCAGCGAGAAACTCCCGCACCCGGAGGCGTCCTTCAGCTGGCCCCTAAACAAATATGTATACTAGTTCAGTGATAATGGACGTCATACTAAACTCCAAATTATACACAAGAAACTAAAATTAAAAATGATACAAGACTAACAAAGGCCAGAGGCTCCTGATTTTGGACAGGCGCAAAAATGCGGCGGGGTTAAACATGTTTTTTGATATCTCAATCCTCCCCCTATACCTCTAGCCAATGTAGAAAAAACAAACGTACAACAGTACGCACAGTAAAACTCAGTTTAAGAGAAGTCCGAGTCCGATGTCAGAATAGGAAACAAAAGAAAATAAACAAAATGACAATAATACATGAATAACAACAGACTACTAGCATATAGCTAAACATCTGTAGAAAAAAATATACCGTAAACGACTACATTTTAAGATTTTAAATAATTGGATATAGTTGGGTAACGAATGGTTAATGCTACTGACCCCTTGATTGTATGAAAAATTATGGACCATATTTGAATTTAAATGGGATCGTTCAAATGTCAAAAACACATTTCTAAGCATGATCCCCTGTATTAACACTACTTGTCATATGTTCCGCCAATAATGACTTATCCTTTTATCTTTTTTTTAGGGTTGCTACTTTAAATAGCTCATTTCTGAAACATTCGAGTTGCGTAACTCGTCGTGTGAGGCTTGCAGTTTCTATGTCCACTTTTAATAAAAATCAAGATATCGATGTATTTCCATTCACCTCCCTATACAGCTATAATACGAGATTTCAGCACTATAATGTTTAATCTCAACACTTCCCACTGAATTATAGTAAAGCTTAAAGGGACGTTAGCTGTCAAATTCATGTTCACGGGTTTGACTCAAATTCTCATATTTGATTTATAACATACTAAAACATATATCCAAATTACAAAAAGTCTAAAATAAACCATTAACAATGCATGTACTCGATAATATGTATCAGCATTTCCTGTGTATTTTAGTCTAGACGCCATCTAATTAACCATCGAGATGACCTCCGAAGACTTCCGACGGTCATATAACCCGTTATAAAAATAAATATTAATATAAATAGATAGCGACCACGTGCAATTGGATTTTTCCTTGTCTGTTTGATTTCATAGTGTAGGCTGAAAAGTGTGTTTATCATCGTTTTTACTAACCCGAATAATTCAGTCGTTATATTCCGCTGATCTACGATTACTTCATTAACGCCTGAATGCAAAGACAATGAAAAATCTTCAATCAACCATTCGGAATTAGCTCGGGACTTACCTATCTCTATAAAATTGAGATGCTTGCTGATTGGTCACCTCTTCTACACGGCACCAATCACAATCCAGGATTCGCGAAGAGTTTTTATCGTGTTAGGAATTCAGGCCCTCGCAAGTAGGAGAGATCGATTACGGGGAGGGACTGAATTATTCGAGTTACGCTTTTACCTGTATAACAATGAGTTAATGTGAATCGAATCGGTCAACCAAATTGTTCATCCTTGTTTCACTTTCAATGTTGACATTCTTTTCCTTTTAATAGCTGAATACATGCGTAACTCATCTCCAGCTTTGGGATTAAATTGAAGGTCACATGAATACGGAATCAATGAGGTCGAATTATTCACTTGCAAGTGAATAATTCATCAGCGATGTTTCTCAGCTTATTTTGACAAAATGGAACCAAACTGGCTGCTAAAAGCGAATAATTATTTCACTATTTCACTTTCATTAATGATTGAACAAAAAAAAAATCATATTTTGTTTATATCTTGGATCTAATGCCCCTTCAATCATCTAGGTCGCTACCGAAAGTTCAGAGAAAAATACTGTTATAGTGTATCAACACTATTTTTCAGATATCTTTGGTGTAATAAAAATTGTTATCAACATTAACTTGGTTATACACTGCTTTAATTGTTTCCCTGGTTTGAACTCAATCCATAAGTAATTCTAAGCATTATATTGTAGAATTGGGGGATATTGTAGAAATCAGAAATCCGTGTTCTATCTCTTATAGTTACATATATAAAGGAAATAATTAACAACTTACAATTACAATTTTTCAAATGTAGTGTTCTTTCTCTAGACGGGAGATGCTTTGTTTATTTTATATGCTTGTTTATTGAAAATACAAGTTATGCAACAACTCCATAAATTTCGATTCCTACATAACTTTTCCATATCTAAGTCAAATATTTATGATATTGCGCTCTCAACTTTATATCAAATTTCTCAACATTTAGAAAAATGAGTGTTACATCATTATAAAACTCACACGACGAACTGTTAAAGCGAAGAATAATTAAGGCATAATCTGTGTTAAATATGCAATGCATGTCTTGGGATTGTTGTTTCGTATTAACCCACTGCACATAAAGATAAGAATATGCGGTATGATTGCCAATTAGACAACTATCAACCAGAGTAAAAATGACTAAGATAAAAGCAATTATGGGTCAAGGCCTTTTTTCTTCTCTCTTCCCCTCCTCTCATAAAAAAGAAATAACAATTCAAACTTGAACTAATTTACTATTTCATACTTAAATGGAGCAAACATTGAATAGTTGCAATTTTCTTCAAATCACGCTTATGGGTAAACAAAATACAAATAAGTTTGAACTGCAGTAAAGCCACTTAACACAAACGAGTTTTGAAAAAAATTCGTAAGGGTTCCGCGGAACCCAGTGTCTCGCCTACTTTTGCTGTTAATCGCATGCTCAACAAATATGAGGAAAAAAAATAATAAAAATATTCCTCTCTATACTATCTTTTGATTGAAAGTAGCTTCTGTCCAAGTTTGGTAAAAATCCAGGATAGTTTATGAATCCAATAAATGTTTTAAAAACTTTAACTGCAGACTGTATGTATTGTTAACTGGCAGAAAAACTAAGTCCATTTATAAGTAAAATACGAAAAAAATGGGACAAAATTTTAACAAAACTTCCTTTTAGATACTAGCTTTTAGTCATAAACAAGCTTCTGTCCAAGTTTGTTACAAATCCAGGATAGTTTAAGAAAGCTGTTAAAATTTTAAAAACTTTAACCACAGAGTGAATGTAATGTTAACTGGCAGAAAAACTAAGTCCATTTATAAGTAAAATACGGAAAAAATGGATTTTTTTTTTTACAAAATTTACATTTGACTATTATCTTATGATCATAAACAAGCTTCTGTCCAAGTTTGATAGAAATCCAGGATAGTTTAAGAAAGTTATTAAAATTTCAAAAACTTTAACCACAGAGTGAATATTTGTGGACGCCGCCGACGACGACGACGACGACGACGCCGACGCCGACGGAATGTAGGATCGCTATGTCTCGCTTTTTCGACAAAAGTCGAAGGCTCGACAAAAAGAAATTTCAAACATTTTTATTTAAGTTACTTTGAACAAACAACACATGTCAAAGGTTTCCCGTTGACATATGGAGGACATTTCAGTGATCCACACATTCCTCCAACCAAGTAAACAACAGAATCTCCATTATCTCTATCCCCCCCTGGAACACCAACTGGTTTGTTATCCACACACACGTGTTCAGTCGGCTGCCATGCACTGTTCTGTCCTTCCGACATTAAATAACCCCAATATTCAACATTCCAACCAGCAGGACATGACTTGCGACCAGGTATCATCAGAACCGAGGCTCTATTTGTCGTGATGCAGACGGCACATGATGCATCTTTGTTTGCAATGTCTGGATGAAAGCCATTAATATCGGTCTCAACACCGTACAAGTTCCTTGCTATATTTGGAGATTGCAGGTTTGTGTACTCTGGGTTTTTAGGAAGACATAAATAATTAGAGCCTCCTCCATTTCGATTCTGCTTTTTTCCAGTCATGTAACCTGAAAATTTTAAAACAAAATGAAAAAAGAATTGTTTCAACTTAATTGACGACACTGATTCTAAACCTAAATAAAGACAACAGTAGTATACCGCTGTTCAAAAGTCATAAATCGATTAAGAGAAAACAAATCCGGGTAACAAACTAAAACCGAGGTAAACATATCAACTATAAAAGATGTTTCAACTGATAAGTTATACAAAATTGAAGATACACTTTACCCTGGTCCCACTTCATCTATGCACGTCTGCTATAAACTTAACCATGTTTGCTTTTACATACATTACACTTTAATATTAAATGTCGACACATGCATTTAGTGTCATATTTATTTAAAAAGCCTTTACACACGAATCCAATATAGTCACACAAAATATAAATTCAAAAGATGAATTCCCGATCTCATCATAACAAAAATAGAATGAAATTCTGGTCTAGTACAGTCATCGAAGAAAAAAACACAGCTTTTACTGAACATTGTCGATCAGGAATTCCGTTTCGAATTATTGTTGTAGTATATGAAGGGTAACCAAAGTGTTTATGCTTGCCCTATAGATTCGGACGGGTACAAAGACCAGTTACCATTTCTTAGACGGGTGTCTAATTTAGAAACGATATATTGTTTGAATTTTCAGAAATATCATAAAAAGTATCTGTCACAGAGCTTTTTTTTTCGATCTACAGGTTGTAGAAAATTGTCAGATTTTGTTTGGATTATACATGGATAATTACTTTTGTGTAAATAGAAATATTGATTGATTGATTTTTGGTGTTTTAATGCCACTTTCAGCACTATTAGCTATTTCGTGGCGGTCAGTTTTTATTGATGAAAGAAGCCGGAGTGCCCTGAGAGAACCATCGACCTTCGGCAGGAAAACGGGCAATCCTAGTCAATTAAGATTGGAGTCGAACGCACCTGTCACGTACGGAGTTCGAAATTAAACCACAGTGTTGACAGGCTACTGGTACAGTAGTTGACCTACTTAGACCACTCGACCACCAAGGCCCCTATGATAAAAAGAAACTAAACGATTGAAATTAAAATAAAATATGTGAAGATAGCTCTTCTAGTGTGCTCTCAGAAAATAATAAGAGAAATTTGTGTCACCTTACTCGTTTTAAATAAAATAAATAAAATAGGCAAATTTTTTATGTACATTCCTTCATAAAATTACATTATCAAAGTTATCCCCCTTATATAGATAAATATTTTTTTTTTTAATTCAAACAAAAAATATTCTGTAGTTGTAAAAACAATCGTTATAATGAACAAAATCACACAATTTTCTTTATTTAAATGAAAAGTCTAATTAAAGAATTGCATTCATGTCTCAAAAATTTGCATATTTCTTTTAAAGATCCAGATCGATTATTTTTTGTGCTATTTTACAATCCAAGATGGCTGAAGACACCGATCTGCCACATCAATCAGTATATATAGAGACTTAAGCCCTTATACTAACACCTGAACAACATCATTGCCTATATTCCTTTTCTTTATTATAAAAAGGGAGATGTGGAATGATTGCCAAAAAAGACAACTATCATCTAAAGACAAAAGGACAAGGGGGTCACCATACGGCTTTCCCTGTTAATGTTCTCCTTAAATGAATTTACCTAAGACTACAATGTACCGTCGTTCTTTTTCCGATTATATTTGTGAAATGATAATAGGGAACTCACCGTCATATATCAATGAAGATTTTTGTGGACAATTCTTTCTTCCCCAACGTGTGAATGTTGTACCAAATTTAATGTCTCTATTCAAATCTAAAAAAGAAACTGTCAGCTAAATAGATATCAATCTTGTTGAGTTTTATATTTGAATTACAAACTTATTGAAGAAACAAACATATTAAACGTTACGATTTTCTCAATTATTTATTCTTTACAATTTAGATAGAACTTCGATGTATATAAATGTATAAGCAACCTTTAAGTAAGTAAATGGTAATGTATACCGGGTATGTTTCTACCTTATCATACTTGTTGATTGATTTAACAAACAAGCAATGGTTTGATTCTATTCTAAAAAATAATTCGAAGAAAATAATGTTTTTTAACGTTTTCAAACACATATGCTAGTATATGTCTCTCTCACTGAATGATGTAAACATTAATTTGAATTCAAATTGATTCTCACACTATCTGTTTTATGGTCAAACCCATTATATACGCATTCTATCAAAATGTTCAGTTCAATATCATTCCACCATTAAGGATGATAAGTCTTCGATAATCTTCTTGGCTATCATCGAGAAATGTATACAAATCTCGTGACAAAATAGTTTTGACTGAATCATTATTCTCATAAGGTTTCAAAAAGGTATATATTAGGGTTCATTTTTGTTTCTCCTATAGAAAAGAAAATTTAAAATTACCTGTGATGTCATGTTGCAGATCATTTCTCAGGTCCCTGAGTTCCCGTTCTATTCTAGTGATAATATATTCGTCACACATCTCTGACGATACAGGCGCACAACCTAAGCTGAACGTCAGCAGAAAGACTGTTGACAACATTGTCACTTTGTAGAATAACTGCATCAGACCTTTGTAGATACTATATAAACTCTCACTAATGTAACACATGTGCTGAAATGAAATAAGAACTGGTATTATCGAATTTCGAATAGCATGGGATCATGTTGCAATTTTGTTTACCAGTATACATGTTTATTTTATTTGAATTTTAATTTGTCATTTTCCGTCGCAAGGAAATACTTTTCAATTAGAAATATTAATATTCCCCTTACGCATTGCTCTGATTCCTTGGCTTATCTATCAATAACATTTGGTCATTTTTGGTTTTATCAGCTCTTCAACGTATGTATTAAGTTTTGGATTTTGAAATATTTTGCCTCGAGCATCATTAAAGGGACATTTTAAAACCGAGGAGAAAGATACCAAAGGGACATTCAAACTCATAAGTCGAAAATAAACTGACAACGACAAGGCTAAAAAAGAAAAAGACAAACAAACAAACAACAGTACACAAAAAAACAACATAGAAAACTAAAGACTGAGCAACACGAACCCCACCAAAAACTGGGGGTGATTTCAGGTGCTCCGGAAGGGTTAGCAGACCTTGCTTCTAATGTTACACCCGGTGTTGCTCAAATAAGTAAAACGCGGTGATAAGTCTAATTCGTAGAAAAGGGGACGGGATTGTAGTTACGACAGTTGGAACATATCCGTCGTCATCTGTGAAACAGATATTCCATAACGGTCAACCAACTCGTGAAACGGGTCCGTAAAATTTACGAAGGGATGATTTCAACATTACCACGATAAACAATGATAAATCATGATAGGAAATACAAGCCCTGGAATATCGTATCAACTAGGAGATATATACTCCGTATGCAGGCGCACCTGGAATGTTGCTACATAGAAATAGAAAGTTCATAATTGAGAAGCTGAAATCATCTCTTTTGTCGTAAAGTTTTGTTTTCAACCGACCCTCATTGTCAATTTCTAGATATAATGGGAATGGGGATTCTTTGTTGAAAAAAAGGTCAATTGTCGAAATGCGAATCATGCGAGGTAAAAAGTACAATTAATGCTATTACTACTATTGGTCGATGCCTCTACTAATGAATTGTTAGTTGCCGGGGTTTTACCAGCCCACTGACCAGTACTTCGGTACTGGCATGAAAATACGAATATTGTTTTATTGGAATTTGCTTCTATTTAGTATAAAACTTAGAAATCATTTTGAATTAAGAAATGTAGCTTCTCATTTGAAGTCTGATTCCTCATTCGGGTTTGGCTATACTTTGGTCGGGTTTTGGATTTTCAAATATTTAGGCCTTGTACATCATTGAAAAAAACATTAATTGTCGAAATGTGCATCACGTGCAGTACAATTGGCACCGTTAATATTACCAATTTGTCATCTATTCAGATTCAAGATTATGCGTACATTCATCCGTGTCATATTCAAACTTTTCCGAACCAATAGTCGTCACTTCTAACAATAAGGTTCATATTGCCCTTTGTTTACGTTTTGAATGCTTTTTATTCTTTCAATCATTATTGTCGTGTTTCTAACTACAATTTCTCGTTGTCCTGTTTTGGTACCTTTGACCTATCTTATTTTATTTTTTCCTCTGAATTTTGCTAACTGAGATCGGTCGTTACACCTACATTTATTGGCGGACCTTTAATCCTTTAGGGACAAAAGACAGGCAAATGATACCAATGGGATATTTAAACGCATGACTCGAAAACAAACTGACAATGCTTTGGCAAAAACAAAAACAAAAAAACTACCAATAAAGACAAACAACAGTACACAAAACACAACACAGAAAACCAAAGACTGAGCCACAAGAACTCCATCAAAACAGGGGGTGATCTCAGGTGCTCCCGACGTGTTGCTCATGTAAGTACAAAATCGATGAGAAGTCTAATTCTGTAGGTCACATTCGAGAAAAAGAGGACGGGATTGTAGTTACAACAATTAGAACATATCCGTCGTCATCTTTGTAACAGATTTTCCAAAGCGGTCAACTGCGTCCGAATAATTTTCAAATGGTTGATTTCAACTTCACCACTTGGAACTCTTGGTTTAATAGCTTCCTTGAAAGCATCAACCATTTGTCAAGGAAATCATGATAGGAAATGAAAGATCTAGAATATCGTATCAACTAGGAGATATACACTCCATAGTATGCAGGCGATGCTGGAATGCTGCTACATAGAAATTGAAGGTTCACATTTTGTTGTGATTGTTTGTTAAAAACACGTCCTCCAAACGTAACAAATATGTTGTCAATCAAGAAATGAAGCATCTTGATAATGTCAGTTTCAGAGAACTTTTTGTTTGAATCAGAGTGATTTTTTTTTACAAAGTACGATGATTTCTCCTTAAATTAAGACAAGGTACTTATATCTACGTTGGCTCTTCTTTTTTATGAAACAAAGGAGGACCAATTTTAAAAAAGCATATTATAAAACCTGTCACTTATATATTTTATTTCAAAATTCTATCAGATAGATTTCTTTTTCTTCACAAAAACATTTTTTTTTCATGAATTATCTATGCAAAATTGGGCAATTTTTGTATCTTAAAAATAGCACGATGATCCATTGCTTTATTTATTTTTCTGAAAATTATTGTAAATTTACATTTTGACAAAGTTGAAGGAAAGTCTATCTGAGGAAATATTTAATGGTGATCCACCTTAATCAGTTTTACAGTCAACATCCCTAATTGATTGACCGCTACAGTGTAAATCAACTCACTAGCTACATGTTTTCGCGGTCTTAGGTATTGAGATATCAGAAAAGTCGTATGATCTGTAATTTTGCCGACTTTGTTCTGTTTCCGATTGTGTTATTTTGACTGAATGCGGTACGCATGACATGTGATGAATGCATTGCAGAAGACGCTTTTCCTGTCGAAGCACTGGATCTCGCTTCCTTTGGAGTTCATGCGATTCCCCCAGTTTCTGTTTGTAACTTTGATTTGTCTCTTCCTTATCGATTTCCGAGTTTTCAAAAACAGGTAGACTACTGTTGCTTAAATTGTTATTTAAAATCTGTACAAAGTACAACTGTTCAAGTCATTATTGTCTTTTCATGTTTTCAATTCGACGGATGGACTGATTAATAAAGGAATTCTGAATTTTAAAAAAATAACATTGAAAAGTGAGGCCTGCAATTTATTGAATTAAGAAATGAAGATTAATTTAAAAGCCCGTAAAACTACAAAATAGTTATGTTGACAATGTTTCATTTGTAGTTTCATTTGCAACACATTTTCTAAATGATAAAATGGAACAATATTCCTGGATGAATTGCTAAACATCATAATTGTTATACAAGATTTCAGGGAGGGGGAGAATTGTGATGACTTCAATGGAAAACTTGTGTACTAAGAAAACATTATCTATCATTATCAAAGGAGAGTCAGTATACTTTAGGACTGAAAACAGTTTGACTATTATTTTTATGTCCCTTTTTGTCATATAGCTTTAGAAGTTTTTACGTATTTATACATCCCTAGTTTTCAAATGTTTAGGTTTGTGAGTTCATAATGAAGGTAAATCAAGAAAGTCGCTTCGGAGGCACGGTTTTAATTGTTATTTTCATTCATTAGCTTATATTGCAATTTACCGTTTTTTTTATTCCATTATGCTACCTTGTCAGTGCACAAATGGGTGCTTGCGTCATGCGCACCGACAATTAAAAGAGGTCCAAAAATACATTATATTTGTTGCATACGCTTGCCTCTATTTGCAAGCCTGTATTGCAGCGTACTGTCTAAATTCCTAAGCGATAACCAGAAAAAGAGCTCTCCAGAGTTGCTACTTACATATAAAACTCAAGTGACTTTTTAAGTAATTACAAAACATTTTATATATAGATAGATTTAATTTATATCAGTACTGACGGGATTTAATTGCAAATTGTGAAATTAATATTTTTTCATGGACAGTCATGGTGCTTTATATGTGCTTTTAGTATGCGAGAGTTGCACTGTTTTATATTCCTTTATTTGCATGCTGCATGCTTCAATCCTTATTTTATTTGTTAATGTATATGTTTTATATTCCCTCATCAAGCTCATTTGAGTTTATGTTTAAAATGCATGGCAATATGCGGAATTTAAATAAAGTTATTTAAGTAAAGTAAAGTGCATTGCAAATAAGTTTTGTTTGGTATTGTTATAATAATATTTGTTGTTTGGTCAAGGAATTACATCACAATTTGCTTATTTCATAATCTGTATTTTTCTAGATGTTATTGAAAAACATTTCTACTATGTGAGAGCTTAACTAATAAACTACATATGAGTGCCTTGCACGGTCGACATATAGGCAAATATCAAAATTATATATTATATAGAGATAACATGAGAAGCTGTGACATGATTTTCACCGAGATATCTTTCCAAAAGAGATCGGTTACTGAATACTTAATTTGACACACACAATGCAGATAAACTTAGAACCTGTACTATATTTGAAACGATCTGAAATAAACTTGAAAAGATCTATACAATACTTTAAAACAAGTTTTAACTGTACTCGAGATAACATGAGAAGCTGTGACATGATTTTCACCGAGATATCTTTCCAAAAGAGATCGGTTACTGAATACTTAATTTGACACACACATTGCAGATAAACTTAGAACCTGTACTATATTCGAAACGATCTGAAATAAACTTGAAAAGATCTATACAATACTTTAAAACAAGTTTTAACTGTACTCGACAAACACTGAACCATATTATATTGAGATATAACTGAAGTTAATAGATTCGATGATACGATTTTTTCAATAACAAGCATATATCGTACAATGAACAGTTCTAATGACAAAATACGAAGTTGAAGAGCATTTAGGACTCCAAATTTCGAAAGTTTTGTGAATCAGCTAAGGTTTCTTTTCCTGTGGTAGAAAATCCTTGGTATATTTCGAATCATTAATACGTTTTTCGTTAAAGTTAAGTTCATACTATTCAAAACGGTTAAGATATAAGTTCAGACTTTGTACTTTGCAGATCAAAATACTTTGTAAAAGAGGAGGCGAAAGATACCAGAGGGACAGTCAAACTCATAGATCGAAAACAAACCGACAACGCCATGGCTAAAAAATAAAAAGACAAACAGACAAATAATAGTACACAAGACACAACATAGAAAACTAAAGACTAAGCAACACGAACCCCACCAAAAACTGGGGGTGATCTCAAGTACTCCGGAAGGGTAAGCAGATCCTGCTCCACATGTGGCACCCGTCGTGTTGCTCATGTTATTACAAATCCGGTAAATAGTCTAATTCGGTAGGTCACATTCGTGGTGAAAAAGGAAGTGGATTGTAATAACGACATAAGGAACATATCCGATATCATCTGTGAAACGGTTATTCCATAACGGTCAACCAACTCGTGATGGCGTCCGTAAAATTTACGAAGGGATGATTTCAACTTCACCATTTGGAACTCTTGGTTTAATAGCTTCCTTGTGAGCAGCAACCCTCTATCAAGGAAATCATGATAGGAAATACAAGCCCGGGAATATCGTATCAATTGGGAGATATATGCTCCGTATGCAGGTGCTGCTGGAATGTTGCTACATAGAAATGAAAAGTTCACAATTGGGAAGCTGAAATCATCTCTTTTGTCATAAAGTTTTGTTTTCAACCGACACTCATTGTCAATTTCTAGATATAAGTCAAGATATGAGGCAGACTTAACTGTATCTGTTGTATCCTTTATCTCTAGTTCGATGGGATAGATGCGTTCAACATAGTCACCAAATTTTGAATTATTTAGTGAGAGAACATCATCTATATAGCAGAAAGTAAAGTTAAAGGATATTGCTAACTTCTTATCTTTCTTCCTAAGAAGTTCCTGTATGAAGTCAGCCTCATAATAATAAAGAAACAAGTCGGCAAGAAGAGGGGCACAATTGGTTCCCATTGGAATGCCGACAGTCTGTTGAAAAACACGTCCAACAAACGTAACAAATATGTTGTCAATCAAGAAATCAAGCATCTTGATAATGTCAATTTCAGAGAATTTTTTGTTTGAATCAGAGTGATTCTTTACAAAGTAGGATTTATCCCTCCCCAAGACAAGATACTTGTATCTACGTTCGCCATTCTTTTTTTATGAAACAAAGCAATACCAACTCTTTCAATTTGTCTTTTAGTTTGGAATGGGGAATACTTGTGTAAAGTGTAAAAAAGTCAAATGTTTTAATACTATTGCAAAAGAGGGACGAAAGATACCAGAGGGACAGTCAAACTCATAGATCGAAAACAAACTGACAACGCCATGACCAAAAATAAAAAGACAAACAGACAAATAATAGTGCAAGATGAGAGAGTCTTAGATTGTATGTATTCTAAAAGATCTTTGGAATTTTTTAGTATCCACATCTGATTCACGCCACCTCTAGAATAGGCAGTTTCACAATAACTTTGAAGCCCGGCTTTGAATGCTGATAAAATAGATGTTAATAATTTAGAAAGAGGTTTCGTGGAGCACTTGGAAGACCCAGCAATATACCGTTGTTTGTAAGGACACTTATGTAGTTTAGGTATCCAATACATTGATGGAAGATACAGTTCTTCATCTTTGGTTGAAATTCCAAAGGAACATAGAACAGACTTATGATTATCCAGGATTTCCTCTTTGGTAAGTGTCGTGAGGGTATATGTTGAGTTTCCAAGTGAATTGTCAATACCTAATTCATTTATCAAGCAGTTTATGTAATGAGATTTACACACAAAAACGATGTTGTTTGGGGCTTTATCTGCGAGGACAACAACATATTTGTCATGGAGGTAGGACAAGTATTTTGCAACATTTGGGTCTTTAAAGATTGACGTAATATGGGTATTGATAGACCCATTTAGTTTCTTAATTCTGATTTGTATCAACGACCTCACAGCCTTAATCCATTCGGAAAGAGTATCTACGTCTTCTAATAGTTTACCGGATATAAGATAAAATATTTTACATAAATTAGCAAAATAGAATAGATTACAATGAAGTGGTTCATGAAATAAAAAAAAATAAGGACACGGGTCGGAAGGTTGCATATTACTTGACATCCGTACTTGATTTGTTTTTATTTGTAATCATAGTTTAGTTAAGAGAATGTGTATTTATATTTTGTACTTGTGATTGCCTTTGTCATAATTGTTAAATCACAGAACAGATACATTTATTGTAAGTAGCATTGATTCATACTTGTATAATAGATTTTAAATTTTGGTAGAATACACATGCATTTGTCTTTATATATTTCTAGGGATGTTTTTGCTATGATTGTTTTCAAGTTGCAAATAAACAATCAACTCGCTACTCAATTCTTAAACATATTTTGTCAAATGTATGTGCTTTTCTACTATAAGTTCCTTATAAATCATAGAAGTTTTATTTTCATTCAAGATTACATCCCAATTACTCTTTTATGTTGCACGTTTATATTCTAGACCATTATGCAATGAAATTACAACAAATATTGAGTTATTTTGTCTTTTTTATTGTTTTGTGGAAAATGTTATAATGTGAAATTTAGTTAAGGTGAAAAAATGTTTTAACAAAAATATCGAGCTCAAAGGAAAATTCTAAAAACGGAAGTCCATAAAACATGACCAAATCCGAAAAGTATATTATTCTCAGTTTAATTACTGATAAAAGATAAAAGGTATTAATAAAGTCTCGGAATCATTAAAACGACATACTAGCCGTTTCATTTTCCACAAATTTCAGTGGACTTAAACACACATATCTATATCATTGCAAGATGGTCTTGGTGAGTTTACATTAGTTGTTGCATCTGTTCATTGCTATCTTACTTCATCTCCTCATTCTTATATTGTCTTGATTTTTATGAAGGATCAGATATCCAATATACTAGTATACAGTTTAAAAATATAAAATAATGCGTGTAAATGCTTACAAAAATGATAGGCAACTTACAAGGTAAACTGTTGAAAAGTAGGATTCACATTATTGCGGAAACGTAATATACTTTTGTGCGGAAAAGTCAAACGATAAGTTTACAATGAAAAAACACTTCATAGATTTCGTACGGAAATGCAATACGCATTGATTCATTGCGATAATTCAAGACACACGCTCGACAAAACCAAAAGCAATGGATCAAAGTTTAAATTTCTGTTCTTCTTTCAAAGTTACAGTGGTCTTCAACGCTTAAAATCGCACACCTCACTGCAAAAAGACTGGCAAACACTAAGTTTTATCATTGCCTCTAAATCAAGCCAACGGACTGAATATCTATAGTGGCGTAATGTTATTCATATTAAGCCATTATACCAGGAGACCATAACCTTATGCAAAGTTTCTGTGTTTATTTTGAATAAGAAAGAATAGAAAAATCAAAAATCAAAAATATTTTGATCTTGATTAAAGTCTTACGAAACTTTAAACTTTAAAAAAAAAGCTGAATATGTTTTATATACTTGAATGACTAAGTTTTACTGTAAAAGTCGTAAAACAAGTGTACTTGACCTTTCTTGTAAAAGAAAATCCATTATATTATCAAAATCTTCATTACTGTACTGCTATTGAATTATTGTCTTCCCAAACACTAGTTTGTTGATATTTTGACCTTAACTACGAGAACGATACCTCTCGTTAGAATTTCGGCCACCGCACAGCGCAAGTGCGAGGGGAAAACCGTGTTGAAAGAATGTAAACAAACGTGCACTGGAAGGTAAATTCTTAAAGAATAAACTTAATACAACAAATCATTTAACGACTTTAAGTATTACAGGATTAGATGTATTCCATTTAATATCCTTTTTTAATCTGTTGATGAACTGATCGCATGTTTGAAGGAAAAAATAAAATAACAAAAATACCGAGCTCCAAGGAAAATTAAAATCGGAAAGTCCCTTATCAAATGGCAAAATCAAAAGCTCAAACACATCAAACGAATTGAAAACAACTGTCGTATTCCTGACTAGGTACAGAAATTGCCATGTGTATTAAATCTGGCTTTATAGCTAGCTAAACCTCTCACGTGTATGATAAATAGCCTTTTTTAGTTTATATTAGTAAAACTTTCAATATAACAAACAAAAAAAGTGAACTAATAGTAAAAAATCAGTTTGTTATTTAACTTTCAACAGAACAATAATGATGGGCGGTTCATGTTGGTCAATCAGTTTAGTTTTCGGTGTAGTGTTTTGTGGACTATTGAAATGTATTGTTTGCCTGCTTTTTTCTTCTTTCGACCACGGAGGGGTCTGTCTTTCTTCGAGTGAAGAAACCATTGGACGTTGAACAATTAACAATTAATCAATCAATCGAGTAATGATTTGTGAAGGTTCCTTTAAGACCTTCTTTTCCTTTTCAGGTTAAATAAACATGATTTTTGAATATTGGTTGTTATGGACTAGCTCGTTGTCAGTTTCGGATTAGGCGAAAGAAATCAACAAATGGGCGTCGAAATGCCTCTGATCACTAATGTCGACGTCCCATTAGTTGCAAAATTGGATACAACGATTCTTGACAGAAATATAAAAGATTACGTTAATGTCACAGCAGAGAAAAAGATCAACGACAATATCGCTGAGTTGAAAAAGAATATACTAAACGAGATTCTTAGCAGTTAGTATATTTCATTTTCTAGCTTCTTTAATAAGCACTGCTAGTCCTCATTAGGTTGATTAAAAAATGCTCTTGTAAACTCTTATACAAGGGGCATATAGAGGTGGTCACACAAAAACCAACTCGTATGCTCCAGAAGTGTCCTTTATCAAATGGTAATATCAAAAGCTCATACACAACAAACGAATGGAAAACAACTATCATATTCCTGACTTGGTACAGGAATTTCCTTATGTAGAAAATGGTGGATTAAACCTGGTTTCATAACTAGCTAAACCTCTCATTTGTATGACAGTCATATAGAATTCCATTATACTGACAACAATGTGTGAGCAAAACAAATAGACATAATACATAAAAATGTCAAAAATTGCAGTACAGCAGTCAACATTGTGTTATAATCTTAATCACTTTAAATACAAATGACTATTTCAACAAAGGAAAAACAAAATAGCATATAAACAATCTATAGACAAAGTACATATTAAGCAAAAATGAAAAACAAGAATACAATAATGACCATAGCACAATAACACAATGGCGGAATGTATAAATACCCAGCCTCGCCAAAAGTATATTATCAAAAATGGACGAAACAGTAAAGGATAAAAAAATATACAAAGACAAATAAAAAGAACATTATAACACGTAATTAAGATGATAAACAACGTCAGTATCTAGAATTTATACTTCAAGACCATCATCTATTATTTGTGAAGTTGATACGGAATATTTATCAACAAGGTCTCGGTATCTTCCGATGAACTTTTATAGAAAAGGGACGAGACGTTCTTTGACACAACCCTGGTTCATCAACTTTCTGTTCATACATTGGTGACGTTTAATAAAGTCTGAGTAGCAGCTGCAAGCTCCTGAATACCGAATGAGTTGGGAAATGTAATATTAGTATCCCATATGCAGGTGCTAAGGTGGGGGGAGGGGGGGATTGATAATTTCAAAATTAAAATCATCTCGATTGTCATAGATTCTGGTACTGAGATGACCACTTATGTCAAATTTGAGGTATAAGTCTAAAAAATGAGGTTTCTTTAATTTCTAGTTCTGGAGGATATATTAATGGAACCCAATCAGAAAATTTAAGATTGTTAATGGAAAGAACATTATCAATATAGCTGAATGTGAAATTAAATGCTAGCTATCTTCACTTGATTTATTTTTCTTAATCTAAAACAAATACTCACAAAAATCTGATTTTCCCAAGATCCGGACAGATTGAGAAAATATCAAATAATTTTACACAAATTTTTAACTTGAATGTTTTAAAACTGAGCCAATCGATATGAAATAAATTGCGAGTAAAAGTACTATTAGATTTATAAACTCTTATGATCTATATTTTACTCTCTTTAAGCGAAATATCCACGAGATTGTGAAGACATAAGAGCCACACAAAGTGGAATTTACAGGATATACCCTAGCGGTACACGAGGGTTTGATGTTTACTGTGATAACCAACACGAAAATGGAGGTTGGGTTGTAAGTAAAGTTTGAATCGTTACTTGGTATTTACGTATGCTTGTAAAAAAGTAATCAATTATCAAAATTTTCTGAGTGCAGCATGTTGAGATGTATGATTTGCTCTCTCTTAGGCCTCTCGATATGACAAAGGAGATTGTTTTAGACGACAAAACCGTTTCATCTAATACAACCTTTTTAATACGACAGAGTAGTCATTTAACGCCAGGCTGGAAAAAAGGTAATATTTACATAATAGTTACTCGTGCAAAAGGGCATTATGGGGATACACACACTGCCCAAAGGATAGTAGTATCGGCCAATATGATAATACCCGAGGCGCATGGGAGCGCATCATCAATGTTGCAGTCAATACGACTGTCCCAAGGGTAAGTCTATTTATCTTGATAATGGCCTCTCCATTGATCATTAATTAATAAAAAAATGATTAAACATTGATTAAATGATAAGTAGAAATAGTTGACGACAGGAATCATATGATGATAAACACATTTATTCTAAAACCAGTTGTTGGCTTGATACAGGTTATGTTCTTCTCATATATTTTATGATGGTATGATACTAAACCCCTAACGGGAGGGATTGTACTTGATTTTCATATGATGAAGACATAATCTTTCAATCAGTTTAATTGAGGTTTGGAGCTGGCACGTCAGTAACTGCTAGTTGTCCTTTGTTTATTTATGTATCATTGTCATTTTGCTTAGTTTCTTTTGTTACTATTTTGACATCGGCCTCGGACTTCTTTTAAACTGAGTTATACTGTGCGTATTGCTATGTGTTTCTTTTTTCTACATTGGCTAGAGGTATAGGGGGGAGGGTTGAGATCTCACAAAACATGTTTAACCCTGCAACATTTTTGCGCCTGTCCCAAGTCAGGAGCCTCTGGCCTTTGTTAGTCTTGTATGTTTTTTAATATTAGTTCATTTATATGTTTTGGAGTTTAGTGTGACGTCCATTTTCACTGAACTAGTACACAATGTTATTTAGGGGCCAGCTGAGGACCACGGAATTTTCTCGCTGCATTGAAGACCAATTGGTGGCCATCGGCTGTTGTCTGCTCTTTGGTCGGGTTGTTGTCTCTTTGACATATTCCCAATTTCCATTCTCAATTTTATTGACAGACAGCTAATTATGATATATATTTTTTACGAAAAAATAGCAAATAATGCAACTGCTGAAATAGAAGGCGTTGGTCAGAAGGGACGTAACACTAAAATCTTATGACCACGTTTACACCAATAAAAAGTTTATAATTGATTTGAAATAATAAAGATTGTTTTATAATAGATATCAAAAATCACATATTTTTGGATGTATGGTCCGATATCAAAATGCGTCATAAAGCACAGTTATAAAGTTTAATATGTGAAAATCAGAGAATGAGGTTGGAATTTGACATGATAATTGATTTGAGTCATTGAAAATTTACCGTAAATTGTTTTTTAAAAGGAATGATAAACTGAGCATAAATTTATTGCAAAAATATTCATTGAATGCATTAAAATCTAAATCAGTTGGGACTTCATTTGCTTTGGACTTGCGATATTTGCTCAAAATTATAAGTATTTTTATTTTTATTTTGTCAATACTTTAACATGTTTAAGGTTTTGCAACGACGAAAAAACGGTAGTGAAAACTTCTATAGGGATTGGTCTGATTATAAAGACGGATTTGGCGATCTTAACGAGGATTTTTGGTTAGGTAAGTAGGATAAGATTAGATATTGTTTGTAAATCAGATTTAGAAACATGATGAGATAGTTAACGCCCAATTTTCATGATACGCTTACTTCTGTTTGATTATGTCATATTGAGATTGGGATCAAACATTTTTCTTCTAGTACTTGTGTGTGCATCAACTACTTTGTCTTATTCATTGAGAGTATATAACCGGTGAGTATATATAATGTAAATACAGAAACAAAAAGGCAAAGACATTCGACAAACTGGCCAACTCCTTATAGAAATGAAATAATAGTAAATCGATACTGAAAGGGACCAAAAGATCTGTCACAGAAAGACGGTACAGTGACAGAAATATAGAATGAAAAAAAAAAAAAGCACAAAAGAAAAAATATATTCAACATTCACTACTTCGAAAACCAAAGATTGAACAACGCAAAGTCCACTACAAATGCAACAGAAGTTAACTATGTCAAAATCTTAAATTAATTAAGAAGATACAAAAAAGTAAAATAAAAAACTGGGGGAATCGCATGCACTCCAAAAGGAGCAAGATCGGATGCGTTGACAGGGTGAGCATCTCCTGATTACCATGCATCTCCCACCAGGCGAATTCACACTCAATCAAAATGTCGAAATCAGGAACAGGACACAAGTGGCGAATTTACAAATCGGACGACTACTTTGTATCCAAATATCTAAGAACACCAAAACGCTGAGTTGAGACACAGACACATCGTTTCGATCAACCAATTCATTATGGTGACCGAAAACTTATGCAGTGTCCGGAGGTACACCGGATGTACAATTTGGTGCTACCCGGAAATGTAAACAGCTCCTGCTTCATTATTGGCACCCCTTTACGTTGCTAATGACAGGTAAAAATCCCGAAAAAATTTCGTAATATAATTAAAAACGAAAAGGGGACGGATTTTTTTGTTACGCCAAATACGTGGTCACGTATTCAAGAAAATCCATCAAATAATGAACGCGTCTGTTACGTTACCATTATGGTTTCTTGATAATAAAAGCAGCAACCAACTGAACTGAATGGAATCATGATGGAACACAAAGACTGTTACACAGAATGGAAAGTTCAAAATGGGAAAATTTAGTTAATTCTCTTGTCGGAAAATTTAGTTCTCAACCCATCTAGATATTTAACTGCTTTATAATTTAGTTATGTGTACCCACTTAATCAAGTCTACTCACGGCTGTTTAAATTGTTATTTTAGTGAAGGTTTTACAAGAGCAAGTATATAAAGTTCAGCATTCACATTATTGACTTTCCGCTGGAGGTTACATGCATATTTGATAACGCAGTCAAAATATCATTTCATTACAATTCTGACATGAATGCAAAGCGTGCAAAAAGAGGTTTCAACTTTAAAAATCTCAATTTTTTGCGCTATGATATAAAATTCTTCGAAAACATGATCAGAAATATTTTTCGTTTTAGGTAATATAAAAATACACGAGATAACAAACAAAGATGAGTATGAACTTTATATACAACTCGGAGATTTTGATGGCCAGAAAAGATATGCGAGGTATCAAACATTCTTTGTTGGGGATCCTGCATCAAAATATGTGTTATCTATGGGAGATTTCAGTGGAGATGCAGGTAGAGTCTTTGTTTTTGTATACAATTTGTACCACTTGTTACAAGCATCGTTCACTGTCACGGATACACTTTGCTTAAATATCTTCTGTGTGTTTCGTGGCAAATCTAGTTTTCAATCATTTTTAGGACATAAAATTAATATGGATTTATCGATTCTCATAATAATATGTATTAGCATTTCGTGTGTATTTTAGTCTAGACGCCATCTAATTTATCACTGAGATGACCTTCAAAGGCTGCCGAAGATCATATAACCCGATATAAACATAAATAAAAATAGATAGCGAGCATGTGCAAATTTGATTTTTCTATAGGTCTGTTTGATTTCATTTGATAGGTTTAAATATGTTAATCATCGTTTTTACCTATACATGCTGTATCAGAATGATTTTTGTGGATCGAATCAGTCAACGAAATGGTTCAGCCTTGTTTCACCTTCAATGTTGACATTCTTTTCCTCTTAATAGCCGAGCACGCACAGTACATGCGTAATCCATCTCAAGCTGAGGGGTTAGATTGAAGGGTACATGAATACTGATTCAATTGAGTTTGATTTATTGACTTGCAGGTCAATACTACATCAGCGATGTTTTTTAGCTTATTTTGACAAATTCCGCCTTTATTCATACTTGTAACAAAAAGAATCGTATTTTATTTTTTTTTTCGAAATCGTATCTTACGCCCCTTTAAGATGTTTAGACTTTACAAGCTTAATTTTTATTTAAGGTTTAACCACTTTGTACATGTTGTAAGAGAGGAAATATAATATAATCTAACAAATATATTTCAGGAGATGCCATGTCTTTACATAATGGAAAAACGTTTGCAACAAAAGACAGAGACACCAGTACGAACAGTTGTGCTAAGATACATAAAGGTGGTTGGTGGTACGGAACGTGTCACGATGCCAATCTTAACGGTCTCTATCTTCGTGGAACACATTCTGCGCCCGCTAACGGAATTAACTGGTACCAATGGAGGGGCCACCGTTACTCGCTGAAGAAGACCCAAATGATGTTAAGGCGCCGCCGTTAAACAATCATTTCTATTGTAAATGAAAAGAGCTTTATAAATGTTAGTTCCCCCGAATCACTTTCCAAATTAATTTTCATCAGGAAAGCTCAAACTAAAAAAGAAAAGATGAACTGGACGTTTTCTGACCTCTGATCGCAAACTTATTTTGATAACCATTAATTTGTGCTCACAATTGAAAACGAATAAAGGTATTGATGACACTTTTATTAAACGATGTACCATAAGTATACGCGTTTCTATCTATGATGAGTTGATTTCTAACCACTCAAGAAGCATGAAGTTGGAATTTGACGCAAATATTTGAATCCCACATCTACTCTTACACGATTTGCGAAAGAGCAGATTTTAGAAAATCACAAATTCATATTTCTCGTCTCGAATTGAGCTATAAAAAAAGAGATGATAAAAATCTCCTCTCTTTATACTGGATACTTTGACTTCACAAAAATCTTAATAAAGAACGATATATTCGTTCGTGCATGTTCAACCTATATGGACTACATTTACCGATGTGGGCACCTGACACAGAAACTGAGTTATGAATAAAAACCACTGAAAATAACACTACACAAGTTTCACGCCCAGCATCATTATTTGTTTGATACAATTTGGTCTGTGACACTAGCGACATGTCTTCTGTATTAATTTGTCTAGTTTTAATGGATTTATGAGATTTGAACATCGGTAAATGCTGTTTTGTATGTTTTCAGATGTCAAATGCATATTGAAGGTTGAATTAGATATCAAAAATTTAAAACAAAATACACAATATAAGATTGTAAAACTGTTGATTTGCAGTGAACTCGTGTTGGAAAACTTTCCTGAAACACGTCGTATGAGAATTGAAATCGGTATCTGGTGTTTATGTAGTACATACTTATAACAAAGTGTAGGACGGCATAATTTTATATTTACTGGTTAAATAGTGTGCTCGTGCTTTTAGTATTTAAGCATTCCTTTACACTGTATTTTTCATCATTTTTTCTTGTAGTTTCGTTTTGTTTTTGTTATCTACTATCTAGTTGTGGGCTTTTCCTGAACTGAGTTCTTTCATGTACCTTTTGGTGTTCCGCCTATTGCGATTCAAGAAAAAGGGTTTAGAGCATAAAAAACTAGGTTAACGATGCATATATTCATTTGCCTTTCCTCCGTCTTTCGTTAATCTGTTTTGTCATTTATATAAGGTGGTGTTTATGGCAAATCTGAAAGTCACTGTTAACTTAATTATTTTCTGTCCTTTGGAAGCAGTCTAATTTGGTATATTCCATATCACATACCTACTAATAGAACATGCATGTTGGTAAAAATGATATTATCTCGCTGATAATTTTAGGATATTGTTTTCATATGCCAAAATCACTATTTTCAATGTCCTGTTACAGAACTTGGAATTTACAATTCAACGGTTTGTTTGTCCTATAAAACTTCAACCTGTGCTTGAGGATGGAGTATACAAAATATAAATCTGTTGTTTATTTTCTCCAATGAAATTAGTGTAAAAAAAGGATTTGGAACTTCTTTCTTGATTTTACTAGAATACATAGTACAAACTTAATACACGGTGATCTTCCAGAAATTTCAAAACACATTATTTCCAAAATTATAACGCATTCAATGATATTGTGAGGAGGTGTTCTTGGTTGTACAAGCAAATATCGATCATAAAAAAAAATACTATTTCTGAATTCCGATGAAAAAACTTCCAATTTTATAATAAAATACCATCTGCACCAGCGTTTATGCTTGTCAGTTAATAGTGATCTGATATTACTGGATAACTGTAGAATTGCATCTCGTGCAATGCATGCAAAGCAAAAGATACTTAGAATGTCGACTAACTTGCTTTAGATCCATGGTTGGAGTTCACGTGCACGATTTAGACTGTTTTCAAGTATCAGTGTGCTTTTTTTATACGGGGACTTTTGTAATTCAGAGGGGGGAAAATTAGAACCAAAATTGTATCTGCGTACCCAGAACAATGTATATGCAATATATTTTTCCAGATATAGTTAGTCCAACAACGGTCAAACAGTAATTAAATGTATAAATACGTACAAATGAAAAATTTGAAACTGCCACCTTAAATGAAAATTGTGCGAGACTAGTCTTATTTTCTGTACAATAGATATGTTATTGACAAGGAAATGTCTTTTGAATTGATATAAAAATCATTGTGGGTCATCGTTTTTCTGTTGCTACATAAAGGATACAAGTTCTTTTGCTGCTGTATCGAAAACGTAGACTAATAAATTTTCACGGCACTTTCAGGACGTGACGTTTATTTTCGGAGTTGCGACGTTTTCGTTACACCATTCATAGGTATCGACTATGTGTAGATAGAAATAAATTCCTATAAATATCTTAACATTGAAACGGACTAGACGAATATCCCCTTCCGGCTGTCAAATTATTCTCTATGCCACAATCCTAGCAATCCATATGAAAAAACATACATAATGAAAAAGTCAAGACAGTCTTATAATTCCAAAAGCTGCATTGAGTTTCGGGCCTACACATTCAAGATAAAGAGTTTTATCTTATTTCTTACCTTTAAAAACATATTGATATGCAAAGTTAGAATTATGTGAAAAATTTAATTAAATGCAAGTTATGATAAAGAAATAACGCATGAAAGCTACCAGGCTCATAATTTTTTATGCCAGACGAGCGTTTCCTCTACAAAAGATTCATTATATAATGATTTGCATAAATTAATTAGTTATTCGAATAGGGGATATAGATAATCAGCTATTTGTCATTAATTTTAAACAAAAATGTTACATAATATTTTCGATATGGCACGAACAAAAAATGAAAATCAAATCAAGTACATAGTTGTCCCAGGGCCAATGTGCAACATGAACAGTAATTTCGTTTTTTTCAACATTCAATTTTGATTTTCTTTTACTTTTTATTTAAATTACAGTCTAATAGGGTACAGATATATTCAAAGGTTTTTTTGTTTCAGCCTTTTTACTTTCCACGTTTTTAAAAAAAAAAATCCGAATATACTCGTGCATATTGAACTTTTAAATGAATATTAAAATAAAAAAGGAATATGAAAAGGACATGAATATAAATGGGACGAGTTACAGATAAGCTACATATATAAAATGAAACTAACACTTAATAACATTCGTGCGTCCATATTGTTATTCTGGATTAACCTTCATCCTCATAACATTTCCTGTATGTGTCAGTCATTGATTTCAAATAAAATTTGCATTTTATACATGAAATCTATAATAGTTAAGGATTTATAGTATATAACCATTTAACAACAAAGTAATGATAATGCATACTCTCAAGAAAGGAGATGGTGCCGCTGTTTCACACCCTGAAACTAGAACAAATGTATTATAATAAAAAAAAGCTGAACAATACTTTTTTAAAGATAAATCAATAAGATGTGAAGACATTTTCAACTGAAAAGCATATGATTAAATAAGGATATCTCACGATAAAAAAAAAGCGAGAAAAGCATTGCAAGCATTTTAGAGTAACATACGTTAATCACAGCTATTTAAGTGTACATACGTGCAAAGTTTTTATCAAATCTGCTAAAATTTTGATAATTTTTCCCATAATGGAAAAGTTTTGTAGAGCGAAAATGCGTTACGATTAACAGTGTCTACGTGACGGTATGAATAACCTATCAATCATAGGAAACTAATCCCTAAATGAGCTATGCAACTCTAGATAATTCATTTTGAATTGATAATACTTATGTGCTAGATAAATCTGACGTCATATTAAAGTAAAAGAACCTTATAAAGTAATGGTTACTTCGTCAATATTATGTGTCATGGTTTTCGGTAATTTTACAAAGTTTTTCTATACTATGGCATCGATTTGGAATATCCAAAAATACCTTGTAAAAGGAGAAGGTAAAATGCCAATTTTTGGTCCCTTAAATTTGAAAATCAAAAAGTATCATAAACCAAAATATACTCAAACGCTTCAAAGTAAAGAGCATAATATGCTTTTTTTCACAAATAATTTAATTATGTACTCTGTTTCAAAACCGAAAAGCAAATTATATAAATGATCTTCATCAATGATCAATGGATCTTGAAGTAATCCCAAGTAACAATTTCAATTAGATTTTGATCTTTGAAAATCTACAAACATAAGAAAATGGTAATAAAAACATCAAGGTTGCAAACATCTAGACTACAAAACTATGGAAACTAAGTTATTTTCTTAATGCAGAGATTATTTAAAAGAAGTCCCTCAAATAACAAAATAATTGCTTTGAAAAACTAATTTAATAATTGTTTAACACCTTCCTTTCAATCTTTGCCTGAATTAAATCTTTATCTCATAATTTACGACACACATATTTATTTTATCCGATCAACCTTTCTTTGTTCTCTTTTTATTTCAAATATGCATACTTGTATTTCAATATATATTTCTTCTGCCAATTGAAATCTGACAAACATTTTGTCTATGTACTATATATGTTGCTATTAGTATACGTTTTATATTGATCGATTTGATTTTGTGAGAGATTTCGATGTTTGCTATACCACACTTCAATTATACATACTTCCTGATAATAACACTGAATAAATCAGAATGAGATCTTTGTCAGAGAAACTATTTTTCTATGCATCTATATATTAATGTTTGTTGACAAATAAGCACTTCATATAACTGAGCAGATTATAATATGTAAATAGCACATTCCATAAAAGCCTTTGTAACTTAATGGTTTTTTCATCTTAAAACAAGTTATTTAATCAGGAGAAACATCGTATATGTATTAACTTAAAAAGTCAAATGATCTTAAAAATAGTATTAAGAAGGCAATATTAAGTAATTGTGTTTTAAAGTATATATGCTATTATGATTGTGAGTTTTGAAGGAAAAAGAAAATAGAAAATTAATACAATGTGCATCCGATCAACGTTAATAGTATAGAAATGCATTTAGTGCTCTAATAAGAGTTTATCTTTATTATAGGACAGTTGATGTCGAAAATTATGACAGCACAAAAGGTGTACAAATAAATGGAAATCAATATCTAAAAAAATGAGCCAGAGGGAGTCGTAACAGTTGTGTATTAAATAAGAAAAGGTCACTTTCCTCAAAACCGCTATTGTATAATGTGAAATCACCTGCCATGGTATATTGTACATGAGTACTGCAGTAAGTCTACGCATTAGAGAAGAAACGGTTGGCCCCTCTGGATGGAGCATCTGGTTTAACCGTCGATTTGTGTTGGTCCTTTTTGCTCAGTTTTCAGTTTTCTGTGTATTGTTTTGTTTACTTTTTAGTGGCTTTTCGTAATTTTTTCTTGTCACCATGTTGTTGTCTGTCATTCGACTTCTGGTTTTCGAATTAACTTGGTATCTCCTCTTAATTTGCACACTTATGTCATCCAAATTGTCAATTTGTTTTAAGAGAAGGAAGAAATCATTTAATATGAATAAAACCTATTCAAATTTAAAAATATTAAATTCAAAAGTTCAAATGAAGAGGATGAAAGCAATTATAGGTAACAATACGGCCTTCAACAATAAGAAAAAAAAGGGTTATAGTAGTTTTCTCCCGTTCATATGATCCCCTCAGATGCTTTAACTTGTTGGCTATAATTCGAATAGGAGTCAATAACATTGGTAAACTACAATTGCCTCTAATTTACTAAATGTTAACGTTCATGTGTGTACTTTGTGGTTGTAACCACATTCTAGTGTATTCCTGAGTGAAACTGTATTAAATGTGATATATGCTTTTTTGTGCTTCTTTGTTAAATATTTGTTTGTTTTTGTTGTGATTAAGATTGTGAGACGTTGTTGTTTGACATTTTAACCTATTATGTCTGTTTGTTTTATTCACGCATCGTTGTCAATATAATGAAATTTGATGCGACTGTCATACAAGTGAGAGGTTTAGCGATATAAAACCAGGTTCAATCCACCATTTTCTATATAAGAAGATGCCTGTACCAAGTCAGGAATATGACAGTTGTTGTCCGTTCGTTTGATGTGTTTGTGCTTTTGATTTTGCCATTTGATTAGGGACTTTCCGTTTTGAATTTTCCTCGGAGTTCAGTATTTTTGTGATTTAACTTTTTAATGATACATTGCAGTCAACTTAAAGAGACTATCCAAAAGTGAATAATAAGTAGAATATATAAACCATGACCAAATTCAGTTAATAAACATTGTTTTCAACAGCAATGCATACCACCAAATAACATTTGAATTTTTGGCGTTTGAAATCTATTCCTAACTTTTTGTCTTGGGTGTACACGATAAAGTTATTACAGAAACGCGCGTCGTGCGAACTGATGTCAGTATCATTCGATTTATAACACCTTAAAGCAAGTATGATAAAAAAAAAGAGGTTACAATTGCAATTCAGTTTAACAAAGGTGACACAGTTTCAGGTTTTTTATATACATCGTACGTTAGCGCTCCGTGTATAAAAAATTCGTCAGATTTGAAGAAAAAGGTATCAAAAGTTTGAATCAGCAATGTCTAAAATGCAGAACCAGCCTATTATTTTCTGGGACTTATGCCTCTAAGAAATATAAATTCTATGGAATGTCACACTGTTAGCGCTCTCGTGTTTTCATTTTCATTAAAATTTCATTTTTAATTATGAAATATTCGCGAAACAATTAACTTAAACAATATCTCATACTAGTTGAAACATTAGTGCTAATCGAACATTTTTGGTGAAGTTATGACTCTTTGAAAAGTAAACAGTATGGGAGATCAAATGTTAGCGGTTCAACTAAACATTCCAGCGATTATTCTGACTACAGTTAAACCAATAGAAAATCTGATAAATTGATATTGAAATCTCACCTAAATGTTTTGTCAAAGTTAAACAGCAACTCTCAAACGAGTTCAAATATTATTATTGTCGAGAACATTTTTGAGATATGCCTCAAATGTAAACATTTTGGACAATCAAATATTAGCGCTCCCATGCTCAGTTTAATAAAACATATATCAAAGGTCTACATCAGCAATATCTTGAAAGAGAAATCAATAAAATATCAAAATCATTTAAAAAAAATGTTTTTTACGCCGAGGCAAAGAATTTGCGGTTTTCGAACCTCTTACCATTTTGGTGATTATTTGGCTTTCAATCTATTTTGATCCAGGCACTACCAATGGGTCTTTTCTACAGAAAACGCGTTTTGCGTTCTTAAATGTAAACCTGGTATTTTTTATGAGATTATTACTGTGGATTCATTTATTTTCGTGGGTACCAATTTTCGTGGAGTAAGGAAAACTTACATGTTCGTGTATATTTGATTTCGTGGTTTTGCCGAAGTCTGCATACAATTCACCTGTTCCCACGAAATGCACGAAAATTGGTATCCAACGAATAATAATAAATCCACAATATATATACATCTATTTTATACGTACTTTTATTTGGTCTTTGTGTATTCGGTTGCTGGACGGTCCTTTGAACTTAAAAAAGAAAAACACTGACATCAGTATTGAATTTCAATTGCATTTTTCACCTGATAGATTTTTAATGATTGCTGAAAATGATGCGGAAGATACCAAGGAGGCAAGAACTCATAAGTCGACAAGAAACTGACAATCACAAACGTGATCTCATGTGCTCTAGAAAGGGAAAACTGCGATATAAGTTTAAGTTTGAATATCCCTTTGTTATATTTCGCCTCTCTTTTAATGGATTTAAGATAATTAAACATCGGTAAACTACTGTTTCTTCTAATCTCATATTGAAATTGTATTTGCAATCATCGATTTTCAGATTTTTTTTTCCTTTAATGAAAAAAAAAAAACATGGTAAAATAAAATGAATTTACCATTTTGTTAAGATAAAAGCAAATCTTTTTTTTTAGAGAAATTCATTACAAAAGCACCATTCCAAAAACAAAATACCCACATGGAAAATGTTACGCTAATGGAATGCTATGCGACTGTCATACAAGTGAGAGGTTCAGCTAGCTATAAAACCAGGTGTAATCCACAATTTTCTGCATAAGGAAATGCCTGTACCAAATCAGGAATATGACAGTTGTTTTCCATTCGTTTGAATTGTTTGAGCTTTTGATTTTGCCATTTAGTAAAGGACTTTCCGTTTTGAATTTTCCTTGGAGATTGGTATTTTTGTTATTATACTTTTGACAACTTTTTATAACAATACTTTTTTCTCATGTCTCGGAAATTAAATAAACAGGATTTTTTTCGTTTCATTTAAATAAAAAAAATTATAATGATAAAAAACAAACAGAAACAAACCTTTTGATTTACAACTTTTAAAATTAAAAAAAAAATTTACAACCTGGAAGCATAAAGTGCCACAGCGAAACTTATATAAATGAAAGTCCTGTATTATCTAATGAATTCAAAAGAAACCCGATCGGCATGACATTTAAATAAATATTTCCAATTAAAGACATTTGGCGTCCTCTTTAGAAATTTTATCATATAAACCAAAAATGGTCAGATAAACCTGACTTGTAAACACCAGAAGATAAATGTTAAGGAATATACAAAAGAAATACCAGACACGTTCGAATTGCGATAGGAAAGACTGTAAATTAATACGCGTTTTCTTATCATATTGGATGATAGAGTTTCGAACTCAAGCACGTTTTGTTAACGTAAAAAATAATGCAAGCAATGAATTATGTTTGCCTCTCCCGTAAAGCTAGTAAAACAGCCCTTTAAGAAATAAACTTACTAGTTGCGTCTTTCACTAAATAGCTCTTGCATCTTGGGAAGTTTTCAGGAACTTTCTGATGGTATTCCGGAGATTCGTTGATCATCATACCCATACCATTTGTATTATGTATGTCTATATGACAATGGAAGAACCAGACTCCAGGATTGTCTGCCCTAAATCGTATGATCACATATCCTCCTGTTGGTAATATAATGGTGTCTTTCTGTGGGGAGTTATTCCAATTTAATGCAGGATGGTTGCCGTTTGCCCAAGAAATGTTTCGCCACTGGGCATTGGTACAAAAGTTTTTTCCGTCTTGGCATACGATATCTTGTTGATCTTGCCCCTTATTCGATATCAATTGACCAGTGGTAGAATTATAAGAGGCAAATCCCATTTTCATAACATAAAATGAATGACCATGTAAATGAATTGGGTGTGACCAGCCTGCACCAGTTCCAATGTTTGTCAGAACGAACTGATAAATTTGGTTAGTATTCCCTCTATCTATTGTATCGTAGTATGTGCATTCACAAATAGTTGTTTCATTACATTTTCCGCAGTTTTGTTCAACTTTATCCCATTCGGCATATGCTGCTACAGTGGGAGGTAGAAACTGATGTCCGTTTACCGACCCTGGAAAGAAATCATTCTCCCCTGGGAAAGCAAAATTGTAAAATCGTTCGATGGTTTTTCCCTTAACATCGTTGATATTTGAATTTGGGTCTACTGATGTCGCATCGTTCCATGTAAGGCATATTCGGTTGTCTGACTTTGGATAGTATAAGAAAGGGCAATTAAATATTTTACATTTGTTTTGCTCTGTACAGGTATTTCGTGAGGCCTTGGGAGGATCTAGATTTTCAGAGACATCTTTGTATTGAATAATAGCCTCTGCTGCATGGTATTGATTTCGGAATTCCGGTTCTTTTTCTAAAGTTTCAGCAATCAACAGATAGTTTCTTGTTGAAACCTTGTCTGTAGTTAATATAAAGTCTATTCTTTCTCCTGGATGAATTATCAAGGATTCAACTTCCATTGGCTTTATTTCAAATCCATCAGATGCAACAATACGGATTGCATTGTGGCCTTGTATATAAATACGGAAAGGATACAAGGTAGCAGCACTTATTACTCTAAAGCGATAAACACTATTCGGTTCGACATCAAACTTGGTGAGTGGTGCTTGGTTATGTGTAGTCAATGAAGAGTAAAAACGACCCTTTCCGTTAATAAGACCAGAATGACAGTGAAATCCACTGTATTTAGCTCCAGATATATCGGATGTGACATCAACAGGCTGATTTTTTTGCAAGTCAAATATACCAAAGCGTGAACGTTGGAACAATGTTTCTGGGTCATCAAAATGATTCCAGTCCTGAATTGTAACTGTGTGAACATTTTCGTTGTTGTTATCTTGAGGCGTCGATATGTTAGAAGATGATAATGGTATTATGATTAACGGTCCATATAGCCCCGCACTTCTTTGATCTCCGATGTGTGCGTGGTAAAAACTTGTGCCGAATGGCTTTGCATAAAAAACGTATGTGTATGTTTGTCCGGGTAAAATTGGACACTGTGTTACAAAGGCGACCCCATCTGACCATGGAGTCTGTTTTTGGTGCATCCCATGGAAATGTATTGTTGTGCTCTCTGTGTGCATCAAATTACGCATATGTACAATAATCTTTTGATTTTCGTATGCAGTAATTGATGGACCTGGGAAGCGACGATTGATAGCAATGACAATACGAGATCCGTATCCGTCTGCACTAATGAACTCCTTTTCTTCTTCTTCGGAATAGGGATATTCTTTATTTGTATTGTTGAACGGCCATAATCTTCCTTTGGAAGGTACAAGTAAAATTTTATCTTTTTCATTCATCATGGTCAATCTGTGATTTATTGTTAAATAGCATTCACATGTGTCATCATTTCGACTGCAAGTGTTTCTCTTACAAGCTGATCCTTGATTCATCAGTGTGTCAAACCATTCATCATCGGTATTTTGACACATAATACTATGTATTCCTATCAAAAGGAGGCCATAGACTAAATGTAACTTTCGTGACATTCTTCCACTAAAAGTAAAATGCAATGCTAATAATGATTATTACAGGTATTGAATATTGTATGTTGCATGTATTGAATATTAGTTATTTCAGGTACTGAATATCAGTTATTACAGGTATTGAATATTAATTACAGTAAGTATTGAATTATTAGTTATTACAGGCATTGAATATTAATGGTTGCCGGTATTGAATATAAGTTATTAGGGTATTAAATAAGTTATTAGATTCTTTCAACCTCATGACATGATTGAGTTTACTTGGAAATCTATCAGAGGCTTTGTGTTGTGGTCTTTCATCAAATAAAAGTGAAGTAAAACGAAATTGGTATCCTTTTCTTAATATTTTCAATTTTATTTGTTTCTAGTTTCATCATCTATTACAACTACGAAGTAATCAGTTTTGCTGTAAGTCTCAATTTAAAAGCTTGTTTTAAAATATTGTTAATTTCATTTTGAAGTTGGATCAAAATGATGTAAAACAACAAACAACATTATTTTAAAAGTTGCGACGTCACTCGCACTGGTGTTACAGGCTTTCTATGCGTGATATGTCAAAAAACTAAAACGGTTTCCCACATTTATATATATATAGATTCCGATGTAAATTTGTAAATATTACTGGGTCCTCAATGAGCTTCAACTTTGTACTTTATTTGGTCTTTTTTTTGTTACATTTTGTTATTCAAGCGTCACTGACTGATTAGTCTTGTGTAGACGAAACGTGCTTCTGGCGTATACACTTTCAATCCTGGTATCTATATATATATATATATATATATATATATATATATATATATATATATATATGATGAGTTTATGTAGTAACAATCTATGGAATAGTTTATTACAGATACTTTACCTTTCCAAATCAACATAACATATTTACAGTAAATATAAAAATAAGAAGATGTGGTATAATTGCCAATGAGACAACTCTCTATCAGAGAGCAAATGACATAGAACTAAACAACTAAGGTCACCGTACGACCTTCAACAATGAGCAAAACCCATACCGCCTAGTCAGCTATAATTAAGGCCCCGAAATGACAAATGTAAAACAATTAAAACGAGAAAACTAACGGCCTGATTTATGTACAAAATAATGAACAAAAAAACAAATATGATATACAGCAATAAACAACCACAGTAAAGAATGTGTATAGACAAGTGCTAAACATGAATATATAACCGGAGAGCATGATTCTTATTACAAAATCACATAGTCTCCTTCGGGACCTATGTGTTACAAGTCAGCACTCTGACCGACTGAACAAAAGAAGCACTTCTCTAGACTGGTATCTACTACATATACTAAGGGAAGCAATCCAGTCATAAATGCTTATATATGTTATATACTTAATAAAAAAAGAGGTGGAAAGTAACAAATGGAGAATCAAAAATCATAAGTCAAAGAAAGATCGGTAACATTATGGAAAAATAATGAAATGACACACAACAGTCAACAAACCACAATATAAATCATGTCAAAAATAAACAATAGGCTAAGCGCAGTTTTTCTCTCTGGTGTTTCCTCCTCAAACGGTTGTTATCTATAAAGCCATAAACATGTTTAAATTTACTACCATTTTTTTATTAGATACTTAAACAATTTTTTTAATCTGAAATAGATACAATAATTTTTTATAGGAACTTATACGATTTAACCTGACCTCAATTTAGCAGAAATGAAATGGAAGTATCATGTTCAATTTTTTAACGATAAATGAATTTTATGTTCTCAACTTCAATCTTACCTTTAATTTTCTATTTTGTATTGTTCCACAGCCTGTTATAGTTTATCATACGGTATTGGTTTAGCTCATTGTTGAAGACCTACGGTACACTGTAGTTGTTTGCAATATTGTCCTTTGGTCTCTTTGTCAAAAGCCAAAGAAGCACTTCCCTAGATCAACCGCTTACGACTGGTATCTACTACATATACCAAGGAAAGCAATCCAGTCATAAATGCATATATATGATATATGCTTGATTAAAAATGAGGTGGAAAGTAACAAATGGAGAATCAAAAATCATAAGTCAAAGAAAGACCGGTAACATTATGGAAAAATAATGAAATAACACACAACAGTCAACAAACCACTACACAAAAAACTTAAGACTCAGCGACAGTCAACAAACCACTACACAAAAAACTTAAGACTCAGCGACAGTCAACAAACCACTACACAAAAAACTTAAGACTCAGCGACACGAATCCCACAAAAAAAACCCGGGATCATGTCAGATGCTTCAGAAGCAGATCCTGCTCTATATGTGGCACCCGTCGTGATGCTCATTGTAAATACAAATTTGGTGTTAAGTCTCATTCGGTAATCTCAAAATGTAAAGTCAAAATCTAGGATAAGAGAACCGAAGAATGGTGACGACAATTGAAGGTTTCTAAATGTCTTAATATCAAAGTATACGGTGGATTCATAAATATTCGTCGAATACCAATTTTCGTGGTTTTTTATACAAGCAGGATTGACTGGGATATACAAATATAGTTGTTCCCAGTTTTTTACCCGTCCGGCAGTAAAACTCTTGCTCCGTTCGGCTGTGTGGGATGTATAAACACACTGTCATGTTCGCTCGTAATTGAGATATCAAATCTGATGCCTCGTGTATAGTGAATGCCACGTTCTCTGCACGTTAAAAGAACTATTACAATAACTCTCCTGAGTGGTCTGTAGGTGGCCTGTTGCCCCTATCAAACATAGTTAACATGTCAGTCTTTATTCCCGATTGACTTACGTTCCTGAAATTTCCTATTGTATTAATTGTTAATTTGTTCTCGATCATATAGGATGTAACATTTGTCACTTGGCGACACTCAAGCAACAATCAATTATAGTAATTTTCTTGTTTTCTTGTGGATTGTTTTTTTTTTATGTCTCACAAGAATCAACATAAAAGGGTGTCAGAATAATGATAAACGTTCCTGATGAAGGTAAACCAAGAAAAGCTTTCCGGACGGATGAAATTATATTAAAGTGTTATTTTTATTCATCTTCAACAATAAACAAGTGTATATGCAATATTTTAAGCTCTGAATCGCATCTAGATGCTTTAAAATATGAAACAAACGAGAGAGTCATAAATTGTCCAATGAAGTCTCAAAACGTTGACGACTTTGTAGTATTAGCTTTGTATAATGTGACAAGGTCTTTGTCAATTTTCAAGTGTAGGTAAAGTACCACCTCACTCGTCTAAAATTGATAAAGTCTTTTTTTTTCAATGTTTGGATTTCACGACTCTTCGATTGTCATCAATATTGTTTTTTCTTACAGATACTCTATTAGAAATTTGATCTATTTATCAGACTAAAATCATACCCACTGAGAGCAAAGTTGGACTTGTACTGCTAAAATAAAAAGGTTTTAACGAGTTGGTGTCAATTACTAGAACTAGGAATGTGTTAGAAAAAAAAACATATCCGGAAAGATAATAGCAAGATGGAATGAGAGATCAGTCCAAACTTTAAACTTTTTTTTAAAAGCAATGTTTAACTAAATAGATTTTTATGTACTTATACATGTTTTTAAATAAGCTGATGTTTTAACACATTAAATTTCAAAAGGTTACGACTGCATGTCTTGCAAGCAATTAATTTGTGCTTTAATATATTTTTTTCTTATATTTAGCTTTAAAAACTTACCATACAAGTTTTCTATCTTAATTGTGGTAATACTTTGTTCATCATTAGCCTTGAAATATTGAACAATGCCCATACAAACCTACATTTATAAATCACAACTACAATATAAATCATGTCCAGAATAAACAACAGGGCAGTTTTTTCTCTCTCTGGTGTTTCCTCCCCAAACGGTTGCTATCTATAAAGCCATAAACATGTTTTGATTTACTACCATTTTTTTATTTAATATTTAAACAACCTTTTTAATCTGAAATAGATACAATAAATTTTTACAAGAACTTATACGATTTAATTTAACGATAAATGAATTTTATGTTATCAACTTCAATCTTACCTTTAATTTTCTATTTTGTATTTGTTCCACAGCCTGTTATAGTTTATCATACGGTATTGGTTTGTCATTGTTGAAGACCTACGGTACACTGTAGTTGTTTGTAATATTGTCCTTTGGTCTGTTTGTGGATTGTAGTCTCATTGGCATTTATATCGCATCTTCTTACTTTTGTTTACAGATGGTCTGACTTTTCCTTCTGGTATATGTCTTTTGTTGTTAACCTAATTTTATTGATGAATAATTGCATAAAAAAAAATGTATATTTAATTTTGTCATTAAGAGTAATAGGACACCTATATTTGGTAAAAAGTATCATTGCAAGGTATGCAGATTCCTACATTAGAGACAACAGAAAGTCATTTTATAATAGCACTTTTCCATACCCTGAAAATGTTTTATACGTTGTATAATCATTTGCCATTATCCGGGTCAACTAACCATGTCACTCCACGTTTGAATTCTTTCAATAACCTAACTGAAAAATTGAGATTAAAAATGATGGCTTCAAATTTGAACTAACTGTTATTAACATGACTATACATATGAGCGGTTAACGTTGGTTGCTGTCTGTCATATTTGCTTTTCGTAAATCTAAAATCAGGCCGTTAGTTTTCTCGTTTTAAATGTTTCACATTTTCACGTCGGGGCTTTATACAGCTGACTATACAGTATGATTTTTTCTCATTGTTGAATGCCATACGGTGACCTATAATTCCTTATATTATTATTTTATATATTCCAATTAATTTGATTCGTCCAGAAAAAGTCACATGTTCAACTGGTTTTTTTTCAAATGGAGACTGAAAACAGCAGATAGAAAAGTGATATTGCACAGTTACTTTTAAAATATCTGAAAAATACAGTAAACCAACTAATTTTTGCGAGCGATCTTTCGCGAGTAGAAAAATGACG